TAACACCATCAAATGACATCTGCCTATCCTAGATGATTGGGAAGGACTGGATAGGCGGATAAAAATACAGATCTGGTCTAAATATGCGCGATGAACAATAATAATAATAACCATACCTCTTTTTAATAAAAACCACAGAATTGATTTGTCCCTCATTTTAAAAGACAGGCAATTTAATCAACAATCAAATCACTTAAAAACATTAGTGAGGTTTAATAAACAAAAATAATATATTAGTGCATCTGACAGTATAGTAAAAAATATCTGTTGCAGTGATAAAATAAACTGAACATAAAGGAAGAAGAAAAAAAAGGAAACTAGGAATAAGGAAAAAAAAAATCCATATAACATCAATGTAAAATTTCCTTATGATTAAATCTAGACCACTTGGAAACAAATTTCTCCATCATCTCATTTTAAAACCATATAGATTTTTCAAAAATTGAACGAACACGTATCTTGAATCCATTCCTAAACTTCAAAAAAATAAATTTATTTTCATCCATGTAAAATAAATCATTAGGGCAGCAAAGGCAAAAGAGTAACCAGCTTTTCTGCAAGACAGGGGGAAAACATTGTCTGGACTTCTGATTTTCATAAGGACTTATATGCACCAATATGCACCTGCTTCCCAACAGCCCTGTAGCCACCAAAATCAATGTGGACCAGCATCTGCAGGTTTCTTTTTTCAAAATTTGCAAGATGGAAGGCACAACCTTGTGGTACAAGCCGTGCATGCATGTTAATGCAGATACAAAAGCAACAAGATGATTGGTGTTTGGATTGGGATGACACACCCATTGTTTTGCAGATTATGACCCTCCTGCAGGCCCAGCTAAATTTAGGAACACAAAACTGTAAACCACAAGACCAAATAAATAAATAAATAAAAATTTACAAGTGGTCTTGCTCCTTCCTCACTTGGGGAAAAAAAAAAGCTTCTAAAATGGTTAAATTCATTTTCAGTCTGTTAGGATATTAAATTTAGAAGCCAGAACAGTAAAGTCAGTGGTGGGATTCAAATAATTTAACAACCTTATGACCGGCTGGATGGGCGTGGCCATGGTGGGTGTGGTCAGGGAGTGTGACAGGCAGTATTTGGTCTCCTGCACCCCCCCAGGAGCAAAAATGGGAAATGGAGGGGCGCACCCCCCAACGCCTTGTTTTGGGCTTTGGAGGCCTCCGTGAAGCCTCCTGGGAGCAAAAATGGGCCATGGCGCCCCGTTTTGCACCTAGGAGGCTTCCCTGCACTAACCTGGGAGCCAAAATGGGGCGTGTGGCGACTCCTGGAAGGGACGGGGTGGGAAGGGGTGGGCCAGCCAGCAATTTAACTACCGGTTCACCCAAACTGGTCTGAACCGGCTGAATCCCTCCACTGAAAAGTGTACGATGGGCCAGAGCACACAGTTGTAGTTGATTGGTTGGAGAGTGCTGCATGAGGCAATCTATGCTATGATTGCTTGTTGTGGGTGTAAAGGGGGAGTTTCCCTTTTTCTCCGCCATTTTCTTCTGTGTTCTCTGTATGCTGTTCAATTTACCTCGTGATGTTCCTGTGTTCCTGACTATCTTGTCTGCTATAAAATATAAATGTTAAATATATTTATTTATATAAAACTACAAGTTCATATCAGCATCTCTGACTTTATTTGGACAGTTGCTGTGCAATTCCCTGACACAATCCGATACAAGGGCTGGCTCTATAACAAGACCAGTAGTTGCTAGTTGTCTCATGAAATGAATTGCATTGGGAAAAAGGCTGGGTAAACGCCATCTTTTTTTTTTTCTTTTGACTTTTAAGTAGCTTTCAGTAACTTTGCTTGTGGTCTTCTTGGATGAAATAGGATGCGGAGGCCAGTCGGCAGGTGTCCAACTTGGATGGCCGATTCTAACGGTTTATTATTCTGCTGAGGTTGTGGACATCATTTCCTCTCCTGTTGGGAGAGTTTACTCAGGGATGTGGGCTTTCTTTTTATCTAACTCAATTGAGCCAACCACTACTTTGAATTCAGACAGGATCATAGGATGGACAAGGATCAATAAACTGAGACTTGGGACTTATCTGTACTTGCTGAAATGAGCCAGCAGATATTTTTGAAGAATAGGAACGAATAATATCTCTCTGTACTCACCTCACTCCCATCTCAAGTGCAAACTCAGGACTCTGTTTCCCTCCCCCGCTTGCTTTATATTTAAAGTATTCTTTACTACCTCATGTCACCCAAAGCACTCCTGTTATTTTGGACCTGTGTGCCTTATTTTGTTACAGGCTAAACCCAGCCATTCATTGACTATTGAGGCAATGACTATCATACAGGTTGTCCTTGACTTGTAACAGTTCACTTAGTGGCTGTTCAAAGTTACAACGGCATTGAAAAAAGTGACTGTTTTTCACACTTACAACCATTGCAGCACCCTCATGGTCACATGATCAAAATTCAAAGGCTTAGCAACTGGTCCATATTTATGATGGTTACAGTGTCCTCCTGGGGTCTCGTGATCAGCTTTTATGACCTTCTGAGAAGCAAAGTCCATGGGGAATCTGGATTCACTTAACAAGCATATTACTAACTTAACAAATGCAATGATTGACTTAACAACTGTGGCAAGAAAAGTCATAAAATGGGGCAAAACTCACTTAACAAATGTTTCACTTAGCAACATAAGTTTTGGGTTCAGTTGTGGTCGTAACTAGGAGACTACCTGTAGTTTCTCTTGTCTTTTAGAGCAACTATTACACGGAATGTTATAAGATTGGGATTGTAAGTGGTTATTATCAGCAGATGTTTTTTAAATGCCACTTTTCTTCCCTGAGAAGAAAACCTACATTTCCCATTGCTTTTTAAAAACATATGTCCATTGGTATACTATTCTATTTTTGTCAAGCAGCACCTAGGCAACTTTAGCTGACTTCCAAAAGCTAAGCAGTCCCTCATCGCTTCGTATTTGGTTGAGATACCAAGAAATGCCAAAGCTTAGCTAGACTAGGAAGTTGAAAAGCATCACAGAAGAAAGCAATGGCAAACTACTTCCATCTGGTTGCCAAGAAAACCAAAAGGGTGTGTCTTATAAAATATCAGGAGTCATATTTGACTCAGAGAAGACTTTACCTCATACTTTTAGATACAGTGTTCTGATGTACCAGTGGTACTTCTGTGCAGATAAAGGAGATACTTCCACAGGCAATTCCCTTAATATTAAAATGATTGGTGTTGTGTTATAATTACTGTGCTAAAATAAGTGCTCAAACTTGGGTAATAATGTTCAAGCGCACAGTAGTTAAACCAAAGCAGGTTTAAATTGAGGTGGATTTTAAAACAGGATTGATGAGATGATGATGAGGATATTTATATATTATTTGGCTACCTGTTTTAATTATAAGTTTTTTTAATTGAGAAAGGAAGAAGGAAAAAAAAGAGGAAAATGACATATGGCTCCAACTAATATATATGGAATATATAAATATCAAATAAATGATAACAGCCTGGTACAGCTTAGACAGCATCTTCTTGATGAATTAATTTCATAATAACAATACATACATTTCATCATAGTTTTCTTCAGGTTGATGTCATTATTGTGAGCATAAGTACATAATCCCTGTGGATGAATAGCAATCTTGATCAAAGGTTTGCAGCCCCATCTCTACCCAGTGATGTTTAACAACTGGTTTTTCCAAACTGATTGTAAAGAGGAAGAGTTGTTCAAAGCATTTCCTTCCTCTAGGAAAATGGGTGATGGGAAATACACTGTTGAGCTCCTTCAACGTCTCCAAGCTCCAGTGACATAGCTGACTCTGTTGCCACCATGATATCACTACACAGTAGCCATCATGATTCAGCTCTGTTCTCAACTGGTTTGCAAAATTCCTGAAAATTTAACAATTGGCTTTTGCAAGCTGGCACAAGATGGCTTCAGCACACCACGGTCTCTACCATTTTCAGATACCTTTTTTCCCATCTCTGGCCCACCCTCTCTAAACTACTTCCCTATCTTGGGATCTTTTATACTTTCTGACTCAGGTCTGCTTGCCCACTCATATACAAGGCTTGCTTCAAGAAAGAAGGAAAGAGGGAAAAACAGATTTAGCTATTTCACTCTAAGCAGGGCATGAAAACTGGTATCACAAGTAATCACTTTCTAAGTTATCCTTTTATTGCTTTTGCTTAACCTGACAGTTCTTTGTCATTCCCCTTTACCTATCTCTGTGGAAGAAAGTAGGCATTTGCAGGTCTCCATTGCTTTTAGGTTTCCTTCCACCTATCATTCCGTGTCACCCAGATGTGCTCATACCCTCTGTTATCAGCAGCTGATCTTCATCTTTCGCAAGCCAGTTTCCCCCACCTAGGATTCAGATTGTATTGAAGCTAGATCCTTGATGCTCCCGGTACAAAGCGGTAAGGATTGCCTCTGAAAAAGCGCTGCACTCTCTCTCTATCCTATCTGGCAAAGCTGTTTTCAAATAACGATTTGCTGAGGAGATGTTGATGCTCCACGAGTTGCAAGTTGAAAAACCACTCTTAGGGTGCCATGGGCAATTTTCCACATCGAGGCATACTCAGGCTGTAATTGCGGGCGTGCTTTGGGAATTGTGAAAGCCAGGCTATTGCTTGACAGTCTGCACAGCAGCTGCCTGCCCTGGGACGCTGCAATTTGAAAAGCAGATGGAGAGACTGATACCATCGCCATTGAGAATAAAGGCAATTGCTCTGTGTCAGGTCTACTCATCAGCTACAATAATCAGGCTTAAGACATCTTAGTCACTGAATATATTGCACGATTGCTGGTCCTCCTCCTCATCTTCGTCTTCCCTTTTTTCTTTTAGTAAGATGGGCTGTGCTGATGGGCAGAGTCAATGTTTGGTAAACTGGAGATGAAGATCTGTCAACCACACCAAGCCACAAACACAATATAATGATATCCTCTTTCCCGCCCATGCAAAATCAAATCCAACACCTCCCTGGAATATATAAAAGAGAGGCTGATCCCAGCTCTGGTCCAGAGGGATTTGGCTTTCTTTGGGCACAGCACTCTCCAGCTATCCTTTATTTTATACTTTGCCCCAGCTGCTACTAAGCCTCTTCATTCTCTCTGTTGCTCCTTTGATCTGAACACAGCAATGTCTTTCCAGACCATCTGCCAAGGCTCCAAGGGGAGCAGAAGGGGCTACAGTTCATGCTCTGCTTTTGGTGGCGGCACTGGAGGTGGAATCAGGCGTAGCTATTCTTCATGCAGAGGATATAGCGGCGGTATGACAGGCCAATATGGTAGCAGGAGTCTCCATAACTATGGTGGAGCTACAAGGATTTCCTATGGATCTGGCTATGGAGGGGGCATCTGTGGGGGATATGGTGGTGGCTATGGAGGAATAGGTGGTGGCTATGGTGGAATAGGAGGTAGTTGCAGAGGAATAGGAGGTGGCTATGGAATAGGAGGTGGCTATGGAGGAATAGGGAGTGGTTATGGAGGAATAGGAGGTGGGTTTGGTGGTAGAGGACTTGGCGGCCTTGGCGCTGGAGGTATTGGCAGTGTCCAAGTGGATCCAAATCTTCTGCGACCAGTCCGGGTAGAAATTGACCCCCAAATACAGCAAGTAAAAAATCAAGAGAAAGAGCAGATCAAAGTCCTCAACAACCAGTTTGCTTCCTTCATTGACAAGGTAGGTTAACAGAAAAAAAAAGTGCTACATTTTTGATTGGTGTCATGGAATGCATGTCAGCTGGTAAAACTTGATGCAATTTGTGCTTAATAATCTAGTAACATCTAAAGTTCCTGATGTGAGTTCATTTACTAACCCTCTTTATTTGGAAATTACATTGAATATTCAAAGAAACTTTGATACCATGAGACCTACAAAGACTCCTAGTAACTATTTAAAATGCTTCTGTTCGTTGGGGTCTTGGAAATGGATGCATTGAATAGAAGGAAATGTCTGGGAAGTAGTAGAAAACTAGAAAAAGTAATTAGGGTGTTCATTATCAGATAGATTTTCAAAATGATTTCAGGATAACAGAAAGGGTTGCCACTTCTAAAAACTAGCATGTGTGGAATTTATAAGATAAAATGTAATTGATTGTCTTATATATGCCTGAATGTTTTCATACAACTTTTTAAAAAAGATATTTTGTAATGGCTAAATCAGCTGCTGGCCTCCAGAGTCCGAACCCTCTACCTAAGCTGTAACTGGAGATGCCAAGGATTAAAAATGCCTCAGTGCAAATGCCAAGCATGAAAACTATCACAAGCTTTTCAAACAATGATGCCTTGTTACTCAAAACATTTGTGGCCATCATTTGTAGTCTATTAAAAAAGAGGCAGCATTTGCATTCCTTGGATGAGTCTGTCTGGAATATTCTTGCTCAGCACAAGTAACCACATAGGCTCTTGTAAAGAGCCTGGGCCAGAATAGAGTTTGAAGGATTTAGAACAAGCCCTTCATTGATTTCTACTGGCAGCTGAAAGAAGTCCAGTGAAATTCATGAACTTCTCAAAATGCTTGTGTCCTTTAGATCTTCATCTCATTCCCAGATGATCAGAGTTTCAATTTTACAAAGAAAAGAAAAGTAAAATAGAGAAGAGAACATAATGAGTTTGCTCCTGTCTCTCAAGTTAAGGTTCATTTAGCTGGAAGAGTCCAATGTTGCTGTTAATCTTTCCTACAGTTATCCCAATGTATTGTGATGGCAACTCCCTCAAATAATTTCTTTTATAGGTTCGCTTTCTGGAGCAACAAAACAAAGTATTGCAAACCAAATGGCAAATCCTCCAACAGCAAACACAAAGCGTTGGCCCAACTTTGAATCTGGATGCCCAGTTCCAGCAGTTCCTGAATAGCTTGAGGAATCAGATTGAAAATATCCGCAGCCAGAAGGCACAGCTATCAACAGAGCTCCAAAGTATGCAGCATTATGTGGAAGACTACAAGAACAAGTGAGAACCTCAGAAACAACAGACTACTATGTCTCTTTCAGCTATTGGCACTTGCAGTCGGGTGATAGTCTTTCCCCTAGATGAGCAGCAGATCACAATAATGCCACTGATCACAATCCTTTCCACAAAGAATGCTCTTTGGACGTGCTGCTCCAAACCCTGGAGAACATAAATATTGCAGTCCAACATTATAGATCTAAGGTTGGGGGATAACATTACAATCAGTGTAGGAAGTTCCATGAATAAGGTGGGAGAATTAATTTCTTAATGCTTCTTTTATGAATTTGTTCACATTCTATTCATTGTGTTTATTATGATAGCTTTGTATTTATCTTGACTTCTTGTATTTCGTATTTAGCTTGGCTTCTGTAGTCTATGTGTGACTGCAGTCAAAGTCCTGGTCAAGAAATCAATAAACTCACCTTGCTTTTTCTTCTAGGTATGAAGAGGAGATCAACAGGCGCACAACGGCTGAGAATGATTTTGTTGTGCTGAAAAAGGTGAGAGAGAAACATCTGGCAGTTTGCTACAAACATGGAAGGCATAATCTAGAGACAGAATTGAATCGTACTTTAAAATTTCTCCAACTTTTAAGAACTAAGTCACGATGGTCAACAATTTGCATGTCCTTCCAATGTAGGCCTATCTTTTTGCTGTTCTTGATGCTGTTGCCAAAAATGCTACATGATGCAGTTATAGGATTACATTCCATATTTGAATCTCATTGCATATGGAAAAGTAACATGGTATCAAATTATGAATCTCCTTAATAGTTTAGTTTAGTTTTAGTTTTATTAAATTTGTATACCGCCCTACTCCCGAAGGACTCAGGGCGGTGAACAGGCACAGGATAAAATACAGAAGTACAAAAGTTAAAAACAATTTAAAACCAAATTAAATAATTTAGCCCACGACAATTAAAATCCCAATAAATTTAAAACAAATTAAAATTTCAATTTAAAATTTAAAAGAAAGGGGAGAAAAATTAGGCCAGGCCGGCTTGCTGGAATAAGAGGGTCTTAAGAACACGGCGGAAGGTGCGTAGATCCGGGATCCTCCGTATCTCCGGGGGGAGCTCGTTCCAGATAGTGGGTGCCCCCACATACATTTGTTTTCCATCTTCAGGGAGCCTGACATATTAAAAGTATTTTGAAATGACACAAAACCATGAATAGAAAGGAGCAAATCTCTAGATTTTTGTTTGTCAAGTTCCATTTGTCAAGATTAATTGAGTTTTTTCTGTCAAGTTTATACAAAAATGTGAATGCATAATATTTTGATGCACATTTCTCTTGTTTAGAGTAGTATGCATATTCACTAGCAAGATTGCCCTGAAAAATATGTAGGTTTTGCAATTGTTTTCCTCTCACAAAGTGTATGGTATATATTTAGTAATTCTCTCTCTCCCTCTCTCTCTCCCTCTCTCCCTCATTCTCATCTACCTATCTGTCTAATCTCTATCATCTCACATTTTCCTAATCTTTATATGGCTTTTGTTATTAGCAAGCTGCACAGAGAATTAGACATGTTGAATAACTAATTTTGGTCCTCAGAGTTGGCTAAAAGTAATAATTTGACATTGAAATTAAAACTTATTATCCTCTCTCCTTAACCATTAAAAAGTATTATACACCTATTTATAAATTCAATAGCTCCTGATATGTTGGAACAGTAAACATGTTCTCCCTGTAATTCACAATGGACCCTTTTGGGTTAAGCTTTACACTAGTCACAAAGATGAAAAAATATATTTGTCTGGTTCACCTAAGCTTTGCATGGAACCTATAGCTTCATTTATAAAGAAAGCAAGGTATCATGTGTTGAAGCTTGCTGATACCTGATTTGATCTGAAAAGGTTTGCTGTTTGTAATTACTTAATTTATTTTATTTTATTTTTTAATTTTATTTCAAATTTATATACCGCACCTTCTCCCAAGGGACTCAGGGCAGTGTACAGCCAGATAAAAACATACAATACAAACATTAAGAACAATTAAAAGTATATACATTAATTTGGCCCCAGTTTAAAATGACAAACCAATTAAAAATTAAAAAATTAAATTAAATTAATTTTTAATTAAAAATTAAAAATTTAAAAATATGTTAATGAAGAACAGAAACAGCAATTTTGTCCTGCTTATATGTACTTTCTAGTGTATTGTTTCTTCACATGTTACTGATGAGGTCTTTCAAAAACTGAGAGCTGAAGATTTAAAATTAAACAACCTAACAGGAACATACAAGGCTCTTTGTGTAGACTTGCTAAAAAGAATTCAGGTATGGTCCAACTGGTGATGAGACTTGTTGAAGATTTACACTGACATCTTTCTTGATCCTCGTAGGATGTGGATTGTTCCTATTTGTCCAAGAGTAACTTGGAAGCAAGAGTTGGTGCTTTGGCTGAGCAGATTACCTTCCTGAGAAGAATCTTTGAGGTGGTAAGGAATGGTTCCGTTCCATTGGTTAGAAAGAAGAGGGTAAATTCAGATTTGTCTTTCTGTGTACCATGAGTCTTTTCTCCCAAGAAAGAATCTTATTTCATAAAGGGCATGTTCACAGGACACACCCTTCAGCGATTTTGGTTACAAATGCAAAAAAACCTCCACATTATAACATCAATGTTCTTAGAATGGCGAGATGGCTGACTTGCTCTTCCTTTTTCACCCATCTAAAAACAAAGGTGACTGGAGATCCTAGACACAGGACGGAGGAAAACCATTCCTTCTTCCAGCTCTCTTTTATGGGTAGTCATCGACTTACAACAGTTTCTTTAGTTGTGTTCAAAGTTAAACAACAGCACTGCAAAAAGTGATTTATGATCATTTTCCACACGACTGTTGCAGCATCTCCATGGTCACATGATCAAAATTCAGACGCTTGGCAACTGACTCATATTTATGATGGATGCAGTATGCTGAATTCATGTGATCACCTTTTGCAACCTTCTGACAAGCAAAGTCAATGGGGAAGCAGATTCACTTAACAACCGTGTTACTAACTTAACAACTGCAGTGATTCACTTAATAACTGTGGCATGAAAGGTCACAAAGTGGGGCAAAACTCATTTAACTGTCTCCTTTAGCAACAGAACCTTTGGACTCAATTGTGGTCATAAGTCGTGGACTACCTGTACTTTAAAGAATCTTTTTGTACATCATTATTGCCACATGAAAACATATCAAGATGCCACAAAGTTTAGTTAACCGCTCTTTAACTATCCCTCCTGAGTTTGAATGCAAGGAGGGCCATAGGGAGGTCAGTAAACAGGGTTCAATAGCCTTCATCTTAACTCTCATTCTGAGCCTGTAGGGAGTTTGAATGTCATGCTTCCTCTAACCTTGTTAGGGATCAGTGTGTGATACAAATAAGCCCCAGACAGACCCAGTGCTTAAAAGGAAAGAGATGAAGCATCAGATAAATGGACAGAAGATCAAAACTAAATAGCCATGAGGTGACTTATGCAGGGAATCCTCACTTTTGCTTACTGAAAATCCTCATTACGTTCTGCCAGCCATGGTTTTTTTTTTTTTTTTACCGCTTTACCACATTTCTCTTTATCGCTCTGAAGTTTAGACATTTATTTTAAACTGAAAGTCCTAATTCTGTCCTGGATTCCATTTGTTTAAAAACCTTACTTCCTTTTATTTTGAAAAACTGTCCTTTGCATTTGCAATTTAAACAACTCAGATCTGGAAAATCTTTCAAAAAAGTGTTGTTTTTTTAAATTATACAGGGAAAGACCCAGATTTGGCCAAAGCTTTTTGTGTTACAGAATGAAATAAGCTTTTGTAAAAGAAACACCAGAAGGGGGTTCTAAATAAAATTATGAATTAAAAAATGCATGATATGGGGAGTAAAAATAATAATTCATGAGTAGTGAGATAGGGGAAAAGTGAGGCAGATTGCCAACCTAACTCATGCTTTTTGGATTCTTTATAGGAAATTTCTCAGTACCAGATTGGAGGCCAAGATACCTCAGTAGTAGTGAGCATGGATAATAATACCCACTTGAATTTGGAAGGTATTATTGATGAAGTAAGAAGCCAGTATGAAGAGATTGCTCGCAGTAGCCGAGCTGAGGCTGAGGCTTGGTATCACTCTCAGGTAAGCAATTGCACTGAGACAAGGAAATAAAATCCCCTAATTTATCCTATGCTTTTCCAGGAAGCAAGAACTCCTGAAGATTCAAACTACAGAATCACAGAACATTGCAGAAGGGACTTTCTGCTTCTACTCATTTGCTGAGACTACTATTTAAACGGTTGTTCTCTTTCTCCATGCGGTCCCTGCAAATTGGACTTCAGTTTCTCTGCAGATTTCTAAAACTGAATTTGTAATTCCCTCACCAAAGTACAATATAGATAATTCTCTGAAGAAAGCCTTTTGGCAACAAACGCCATGACTGATATTCTCAGGACAGATCAGCTTTCCCCTGTCTGGCATTTTCCAAAGTTGTAAAATACTTATCTTGTAAGTTCTCAGCTGGGCTAACTAGGGATTCTGGGAAATACAGTCCTGCCTCATCTGGAAGAGGCCAGACTGAGGAAGGCCGGGAGTGATAAGGGCTAAAAATCTTGCCAAGGAGCAACCAATCAGTCCTAAAGATGCCCAATCTCAGTGCTGACACACAGGCTAGAAATGAACAATGATAGTGAGCTGTGGGGACCCTATTTTAATCAATCTTTTTAGGTTTTTAAGCCTCTTCATTTTCTGAACAATGTGACAAAAAGCAATTATCTGAGGCAAAATGGTCCATGACAGAGGTTAATACATCATTTGTATAGACTCTTCAACCATGCCCAGATTCGGCCAATTACAATGTGACTTAAAATGATTTAGCAGCTTCTGCATCTTGGCCCTAAGTTCTTAAGTATGGACTCAGTACTCCCAATGCTTTACAAAGCCCTTTCTGGGAATCATGATAATCAAACTGATGTCAAATCAGTATAAAGTGTGAAAGCTATGCTCTTTGGAGGTGGCTGAAGTACAACTTCAAGCATCCTTTACCATTAACTATGCTGGCTGGGCCTGCTGGAAATTGTAATTTAGGAATGTTTGTTCGGCCATCCTTTGCCATCCCTGAGCTATTCTGCTTCCATTGTCATCCACTGGGCTGATGCAGCAGAATGAATAATTACACTTTTTCTGCCCAACAGTTTGAAGCTCTGCAGCACACAGTAGGACGGCATGGTGAGAATCTGCGCAACACCAAGCAGGAGATTCAAGAGTTGACTAGGAACATCCAGAAACTGCGTTCAGAAATTGAGCATGTCAAGAAGCAGGTATGGAGTGTGCAGGGAAGGATTACAATTCAATCTCCTTGGGAGATGCAGGTCACTTTATGAGTGTTGAATTCACTTCTACAAAGGGAAAGAATCTCTTAGTGAAAGTTTATGCAAAATCTTCTTATAGGACACAAGGTGCCTATTTTTTAAATCATTTATTTTAAGTGCATGTATTTTTAATCATTTGATTTAAGATCTTGAAGCATTTCTGTTTCTCAGGCAGATAACATTCTGACTCAGTAACTTAACACATTTCATTGAAACTTGCCAAACTCCTTTTAAATTACTTCTCTCATCTTTCAATTGGATAAGAGTTGAACAACAGCACCACATATCTTGTTGCATGATCGTAGCTGAGCTTTCTTCAAGATTCATAAGATGAATTGCATTATCTTTATATAAGTCCAGGTGTGACATTGTTGGCTTGGGTAGCAAAATGGAATGGGTGTTGCAATGTGAATTACATTGGTTTGGGGATAGAATCTTTTCTGCACTGAACCAGTGGTTGAAAAGGAAAGGCTGTGTCCCAACAAAGGGCTGTAGTTCATGGTAGAAGACTGGTTTGGCAGGAATAATGGGCTGGAGAATCTTCATAAATCTTTAAATCTTAAAGATCTGCTATTTGTCATTGTCAGCAATTCTGAACTGGATGAGCCAATGGTTCAACTGTGTTCCTCGTTCTTAGCCTCTTAATAATTTTAATCTGCTCTTTAGTGGTTCATGGGAGAACATGTTGCAAGTGGGAAGCTCAAGTGTTGATGCATCTAGCTGAAAAGAATCTGTTCTGCTACACATATTTTATGCAGCATATAGGTAAAGAATCTCTTCACAGATTCTCAACACAGAATCCTCTTTGTTTATGAGGCTTGTCCCCCAGCCTCAATCAAGATCCATAGACACTGTTTGGGACTGGGGAGGGAACAATAAATCAAGCCTTGTCCCAAAGATAATTTTTTTCAAGAGGAACCTGGACTTTTTTTGTTTTTCCTTGAAGATGTTTTGCTTATCATCCAAGAAGCTTCTTGGATGGGAAGTGAAATGTCTTCAAGGAAAAACAAAGAAAGCCCAGGTTCTTTTGAAAAAAAAAACATATTTGGGACAATCATGTCTTGGACAACTGAGAATATTCATAGGTATGTTAAGCCTTGCAACAAGAAGCTTAAAGAATTTTCTAAGATATGTCTTTTCCATGCTGATGCCTGTAGATTGCTGAAGTGCATTAGGAGATTGTTAAGAGAAGTAAGAAGAGTTCACATTTCAGCTGGGCCCAGATATAAGTCCATTCACAGAAAAGTACTACATTGGTCTACCATAGTATGGCTGGAAAAGGCCTTCTGAAGAGGTGCCTGATCTGGCTTGATATAAGGAATTTTCTTACAACTCCCACATCAACTCAGAGGTGGTATAAGGAAATCACCATCTTACTTGGAGAAATAAGGGAAAGAAAGCATCCTCGTTCACAATCTCAAAATTGAAAAGCAGAAGGAATCATAGTAACAGGGTTCCATGTTTTAAAGGAATGATAATTGAAAAAAAGTGGAGTGTAAAATGATTTAGCTCTCTAACTCCATTATATGTTGATGGTGCTTCAGAAAAGAACAATAGCAAAAAAATTGTGTCAGAGAAGCTTACATTTAGGGCTTGCCTGGACAGAAATTCCGAATCCATTAGAGTTGGCATCTTATACATTCAAATAAATAAAAAGTAATAATACATTTTTAAAAATTGGATTGAGCATCTGGACTGACAGCTGGAACATGAGAATAAAAAAGACTTATTTTTTCTTCAAGTCCACTTGAAGAAGAAAAAAAAAGCGAAAGCTATATTGTATAAAAAGTATATTTCTAAGATAAGTTGCCTAAAGAAAAATAGCTTACACTGGGGAATTTATATTTTAAAAGCCTACATTGAGGAAATGTAAATTAGCAAAGAATGATATCATGGAATTTAATACTAGAGATTGATATTATCTTGAGATCATTTATGTTAAAACGTAATTAGATGTAATTATGTTAAAATACTCTGCATTTGGATAGCTGAAAAAAAGCTGAGTTTTAACAGATCTTTTTTTAAAAGTGAAATAAAACAAAACAAAACAGCGAACTCAGAACACTAACATGGATTAATTATTTTTTCTGATCTGGACATCTCTAGCTCCCAAGTGCTATCATGCAAGTGATAGTGCAGAAGTATCCCATTATTTATGGTGGGTTTATATTTATGCATTTATTTAGTGGGGAGAGAAAAACTCAGAACTATTGGTGGAAGCCCCTGGAAAATTTCCCAAATGAAATAGAATTAGGGCATTTAGATAAATACTTCATCTAAAAGGAGTTAAAAAGATGTTCATGGTGGTAACTAGAGCTGTTGTTACCTCCGTTGCCTTGCAGTATGCTAAATTGCAGTCTGACATTGCTGAAGCTGAGGAACGTGGTGAACTGGCTCTCCGAGATGCTAAGCAAAAACTGCACGACTTGGAATGCGCCTTGGCGAAAGACAAGGAAGAACTGGCTCGCCTCCTGAAAGAGTACCAAGAGCTGCTGAACATCAAGCTTGCTCTGGACATTGAAATTGCCATGTACCGGAAACTGCTGGAAGGAGAAGAGAGCAGGTTTGTCTGCTGGTCCCTTTAAGGAGTGAGACTGCTTTTAAATGGGACAAGTGTCCACAAACTAAATCTGGCTAAAAATCTACCAATAGATATAAATGGCGTCTATTTAAATATCTGAATAATTGGATATTGTCTTGTCAATATTTAACACCCTAATTTGGGGAAAGAGGTTTAATTTGGAACTTCTGGAGCTCTGACTTGCCTTTGGAAAGGCTGATGTGCTTCATGCCATGTGGGTACTCCAGGTCTCACTCTCTACCTTACCTGGATTCCAAAGGTGTTCCCTTTGTGGGTTGGTTTGCAGGTAGGACATGGGGATTCATGAGTGGGAGGAGGGGAAATCCATCTTGCAAACAACAAATCGGTTAGGTGATTTGTGCTTGTCAGTTTCAAGCTGCAGCTCATAATTCTATGATTCATATATAGTAGACTATCATATGGAAATATCACTCAACCTATTGGGCAATTGTCTATTTCACGTTTATTCAAAAATCACCTGTGTTTTTTTGCTTTAAACAGGCTCTGTGGCTCAGGATCTCAAGTCCATGTCTGTAAGTAGCTTATGTCTTCCCCTGAATATATTTACAGTTTTTAAAGTTGTGAAGATGTGCGTACTAAATCTGTGTTTTCTTTACAGCTGTGCGGGATAGTGGCTTCGGTGGTGGCTTTGGAGGTGGCCTCGGTGGCTTTGGAGGTGGCCTCAGTGGCGGCATTGGAGGTGGCCTCGGTGGCGGCATTGGAGGTGGCATCGGTGGCGGTTTTGGAGGTGGCATCGGTGGCTTTGGAGGTGGCCTCAGTGGCGGCATTGGAGGTGGCATTGGCGACGGCATTAGAAGTGGTGCCAGCGGAGGTAGCTGTGGCTACGGAAGTGGAGGCTATGGCGGCTCTGTCTGTGGAGGAGGAGGTGGATTCTCTCATGGCTTAGGAAGTGGTTCCAGCACTGTCATCCGAAGAACCACCGCGTCCAGCTCGTGCACCAAGTCAAGTGGAAGATATTAGGTATCTCTCCCAGTCACCCCCAAAGGAAAGGAACATCTTTTAGCTGCTTGTGTTAACACAACTCTTTCAGCCCCATTCTGGCAACCCAGAAAAGAACAAACAGTGTCTTCTAAAGCCCAAGATCTGGTCTCTATTTCCCTCCCAGAGGAAACCTGCAGCCAGCCCCCGCAGAGGAGGTCATTGTCCATCTAACTTCTATTGCTTTTGATGACCAGTCATGAAATGGTAACCACATTCCATTTTAGGACATCCAAGAGAGAAACGCTTGAAAGAAAGGGGAGATGAATCAACCACGAATCTGGGTTTTGCGTCCTTAAGTATGCTGTATATATTTGGCCTAGTTTGTGGCTGCCAAATAGTGATGTGCATGAAAGAGATCTTTCCTCACTGCCTGGAGTCTTCCCACTGGTGGTTCTCATCAGTCTTGCTATAGTTCCCTGCTTCATTGAGGAGATCATTTGTTTTCACTGTATATGTTTGGTCGATGTTAGGCAGGTCAAACTTGTACTGCTAAGTTAAATGCCAATTTTCTTAAACCACCACTGCATTTTCAATCAACAGTTGGATTTGCAGAAAGACAGGGTTCTGCAGAATCCTGAGCAATCAACAATTCATGGTTAGGAAATCAGGAATCAAGGACTGTATTGTGAAAACATTCAATCTTGGGCCAGTTTTGCGGACTATGTTGCACCTATCTTCATTTCTTAGGCTTTCTTTCCCATTTTCTTAGGAGCTGATCATTTTCAATAAACTGCAGTCAAGTTAAACGTTGTCTCTCTTTTTTTTAAATGGTTGGTTTCACGCATTTCATTTTACTTCAAAAAATGGAACATCCGTGAAGTGGCTTGCACAAACTCCATGTATTATTTTCTGGGAAATAACTCTTCATGAATATGTAATCTTTATTTATAATTCTGTATTTGTTTATTTGAGAGTAGGCCTCACTGAATTAATTGAATTTCCTTTAGAGGAAGCATACATTAGGGATGTGCACCGATCCCTAAATATGGTCTCCATAAAATGGCATATAATAAGGTTGGGCAATATGGAGTCAGACAAAAAACTTCATGATTAATTAGTCTATTCAGCGCTACTTACTTGGAGTGTGGCGAACTCTGGTTTCAAAGAGCATTCATGATTGGATGAAACATGGATATGTTGTGCACCATCTGTCAGGAACATCTCAAACTACCTCAAAGCTGCTGCTCCTGGACCTGTGGAGCGGTCTTCTGTAGTTGATGTACAACCCTAGGAAAAGATGCGACTGATTCTCTTTGCTCAGAATCATGTTTTTCATGGAAACCAGGGTTGTGCACAACCTTGATGTATTCCACTAGGCAGGCCAATTAATAAAGACCCCTTTTGCCTGAAGGCCAGCAATATCCCAATTAAAATAAATCAGCATAACATAAGAACAACCAAATTTAAGCATTATGATAAATGGGAGTAATTTAAGCATGGATGCTTCATGTCAGTGAATTCAACAGCCATTAAAAGTGCTTAACTTTGGTTGGATTTTGGTCTTTTTGGTTGAAGCTGTTTTTAAACTACCTACTCAAGGTCTAATTTTGAAAAAATATTGCTTTGTATTCAGAACTGTTAACCTAAAATTGGTATGGAAATTTTAATTTCAGCTTGGATGCTGCATCTAGCTTTTTTTAGTTTGCCATCCACAGAATCTCAGGAATAGTCCTTGTTTCTCAAAATGATTTGGGTTGTTTTATCTCCGGCTTATTATTTGTATCTGTTCTAAAATTTAGGGTTGGTATCCAGGAAACGATCTCATGTCGTGCTGTGAAGTAGGTTTGATTACCCCCGAGTTAGGTCAAATAGTTGACTCCCAATGAATGAATGGTAACTTGTGCACATCAGAACACAGATATACAATGCGGCCCAGCCCAAGGATGCTGGATCAGTCTGAGAATGGATGATAATTCGATTTCACATCCTTAAGAATTAAGCTGGCATTTGGTTGGCTCTGTGATCATTGATCTGAAACTGTACTAAAGCTAGGTAGCTGAGGTGTGTGCGTGGGGTGGTGTGTCTGTTCTTCTCAACAATGGAAACCTAGCATTCCTGTCTCCTGCCTCCTTTCAATATCACAAATGTACTGCATTCACCAGTAGCAACTACATGCTTCCTTTTGCTGTAACTTCAGATCAGAATTACACTGGTTGGGATGCAATGGGGTCAGTGGGATGGGGTGGAGGCTGCAGTACAGCAAGTAAATGAAGGTTATCCACACTATCTTTTCCTGTAGTTGCTAGCTTCCTCCTTTCCTCAGCTACTATTGCTGTGTCATTTTAATCATTTCCTCAGGACATCTTCAAAGATACAAAGGCGTCTTCCTGTGTAGTCTTTTCTAGAATCGCCCAACCGCTATTTTCTCAAAATAACAGGCTTCTGTGATAACTGGATGATGATATGAAGACATTTAATACTTGGCTGCTACAGATCCTGGTTAGTGGTGAGCTGGAAGTAAATGCATACCATACATAACAATAAAGGAGAATATTTGTAGCTCAGCGATTAGCACTGATGAGGTTACCCAGTTTGGGTAATGAAATGACTGCAAGAAAATAAGCAAGCTCAGAGAGCACCAAGGACTCTTCCTACTGTATGTTTCAGGAAGGGAACATCAACACTGAGGGAGTTAATAGTTGCAGATTTTTAGTCTTGATGTTCCTTTTCCCCCACTTTCTAAATAATTGTATTACATTCTACAAATGTTGCACTTGACATTTCTTAAAAAGAATTATATAATGGTATCTAATGTGTGGAATCTAACATAAAAAAAACCCCATAAACTTTAGAAGAAAAAAAAAACTAGTTTGTTATATAATCAGCTCCTTGTGTAAATAAAGAAAAAAAAACCCTTTTATTAACCTATCTAAAGAAAAATCATTAAAAATATAAAAAGAATAGATTGGAAATTTAAATGCAAATGAAACAATTTAAGCAACAAAACTAAAAAAAAAACCATACATATACAGAGACAGAGCCACACACAGAGAGAGACAGAGAGAAATAAAAAAGAAAAAGAAGTGTTAGTATATTTAAGTAAAGTTATCTTACATTTTTGCCTTCAAACATTAAAATAATTAATGTTAAATTAAATCTAGGCTGTAAGGAATCATACTGCCTGGTCTTGCCTTTCCTTTAATACAAGGCTAATTCAAAAGTTAATAGCTGACAAACCTCAGAAGGAGGCTCTGAACTTGAGTAGTATGCCAAAGGTTGCCAGTTGAGAATAATTGATTGATAGAGACCAAAGAAAGATGGAAGGAATATGTACTGAAATACTGTTCAGTAAAAACATCAATATCCAAGATACCTTAAAAGATACCCCCTACTTAGAATAACCTCTAATATTAGAAGATGAAGTTATATCAGCATTATGGTCATTACCAAATTGGCTATAGGAACCAATGGAACACCTATTGAAAAATGGCAAGCAAAAGAAGAATAATCAGTCAAGGAGGTGGGAAGTTGAGGAGAGATTGTTCAAACTTTTGCACAATATCCTTAATTTCATATGCTGGCAAAATAATCCTCAGGGTTATTGTTAGATTAGAGCCCTACATAGAAAAGGAGGTGCCAGATGTTCAAGCTGGTTTTAGAGAAGACAATATTTCTAATGCACATGGATAATTGAGAAAGCCAAAGAATGCAAAAATAAGTCACTATGTCATTCACTGATTATAGAAAGGTTTGCCCCATTTTACGACCTTTCTTGCCCCAGTTGTTAAGTGAATCACTGCAGTTGTTAAGTTAGTAACATTTTTGTTAAGTGAATCTGACTTCCCCATTGATGTTGCTTCTCAGAAGTGCACAAAAGGAGATCATTGCCACCATCATAAATATGAGTTAATTGCCAAGCATCTGAATTTTGATCACATGATCATGGAGGATGCTACAAGGGTCGTAAGTGTGATAACTGGTTATAAGTCACTTTTTTTCAGTGCTATTGTAGCTTTGAACGGTCACTAAATGAATTGTTGTAAGTTGAGGACTACCTGTATTGGATCTGCTATTGCCAAGAGTGAGCTGTAATGCCACAAGTGGAAGTGGACATAGTAGTAGAAGTGCAGCTGTTATCTATATTTTCTTCTTGCCCGTTTCTTCTTCTGCAAAAAGAACAAAACAAACCTTTTTTCATGTGAACAGATTGGTGTGGATGTTTGGTTTGGGCCATGCTTATTCCCTTTCTAAGGACAACACACAATTTCCCCAATGCATATGTTGCTTTCCACCTGAGATGTGTGCAACACAACTGAAGGGGATGTGAGCCACATAACAGTCTTGATGCCCTTACAACCTCCTACCTGGAATAACTGCTTTACTGGACCTAAAGTATGCAGCTCTCTAGAAAGCCTTTCTGCCCCCAGCCAGGTGCTTTGTGTACCCTGTTTTCCCCAAAATAAGACATCCCCGATAATAAGCCCAATCGGGCTTTTGAGTGCATGGCAATAAGGCCAAGTGCTTATTTCAAGGTTCAAAAAAATATAAGACAGGGACTTATTTTCGGGGGAAACATGTTAGGTTACCTCTGGAAGGTGCTCAGCAAACACCTTAGGAAGTCTGATGCATAAGGTACTGGCACTACCCCTTCTCCATTCATCATCAGATGTTAAGTCTACTTATGGGAGATTGGAGTGGATGCATTGCCATCATTGGAACAGAGGATAGAGAGCATGCTGGAGGATAATTTGGTAGTGCGTCTCCAGAGAAAAATTATCAGGAAAGGACAACATGTAAGCTATCAGAAAGAAGGGATGATTAACAGAAGGATGAACTAGATTTTTAGATTAAGATGAACCTAAGGATGAAAACCCATTGTGGTGGCACTGATGAACAAGCAACAAACCCAGGACTGAAGACGAGCTGCAGACTCAAAGATCAAGTAGAACTTGTCAAAAGACACATTAACTAAAGATATTAATGTGTCAAAGAATTGTCAGTCAATAACAACTAGACCGAGACTCAGCCTTATATATTTATTCACCATCATGCTTGTTCTACTTTTCCGTAATCTGCTTGCCTACAGTAAGCACCCCTACCGAAGTTAAGCATATAATTCAATCCTTAAAGGCCGGGAAGGCCCCTGGAGAGGACTTGTTGCCTCCTGAACTCTTTAGGTCCAACATTGACTTTTGGGTACCGGTGCTGGTATCACTGTTTACTTATATCGATAAAGTAGGGATAATCCCTGAAGAGTGGAGGTTAGCTATAGTTTTTCCAATTTTTAAGAAAGGTGACAGAGCTGCCCCATCCAACTACCAACCCATCAGTCTTCTTAATATAATTTCAAAAATGTATACAAAACATCTCCTAAATAAAATAGAGGACTGGTGCTTGGATAAGGAAATTCTGGCAAATGAGCAGGCAGGTTTTAGATCAGGTAGGTCTACCATAGACAATTGTTTTGTCCTTTCCCACTTAATTAATAAATACAAGACCCAGGGGGAAAAGCTGAATACCGCCTTTATTGATCTTACTGCTGCTTTTGATTCTATAGATAGGAACCATTTGTGGAGGAAATTACAAGTTATGGGGATGGACCCCAGACTTATTTTGTTGATCAGGATTCTCTATACTAATACGGCAATTAGAGTCAGATATGCAGCAAATGGGGCCTCAACAAACAGCATACCGACAACTAGAGGAGTGAGGCAGGGCTGCCTGCTGGGCCCTAATCTTTTTAACCTTTATATAAATGATATCCCAGCGCAGCTGGATGATCTTCTGATGCACAGCCCCCAAATAG